TCGCAACCCAGGACTTGGAACGCTACTTCGTGACCCAACGCAACAAGCATGATTCGGCAATCTGGCGCCCCGCGCTCTCTCAGGTGGAAGCATCGGAAAAAAGGCTGCCCTAAGATGGACCCCGACTACACTGTAGCAGGATTGTTGTGGAAGGAGCCCTTAATGAGATACCTACAAAATTTGCTGAAGCCACCAGGTGATTCAGTGGAGTTCCGCTATCGGCCGGGCGCTGAGCTTCCTGCACGACCGTGACGTGGTCCACCGAGATCTCAAGCCACTGAACCTGCTGCTGACCAAGCATTTGGAGATCAAGGTGTCTGATTTTGGCATCAGTCGGTTGATGGCTCGGGAGTGCGACGGATACTCGATGACGGGCGGGATTGGCAGCTACCGCTACATGGCGCCTGAGGTGGTGAGATACCAGGCTTATGACCAGAAGGTGGACATCTATGCGTTTGGCCTCATCATGTACTTCATGAGCTCCGGCAGAATGCCTTTCCACCAGCTGGGCCCCGACCCGGAGGTCATCCTGCAGCAGTACCAGCGAGGAAAGGAGCCACGGCCCGCTCTGCTGGACTGCCCTGCCAAGCTGCGACCCATCATGGCGGCTGCATGGCATGTCACACCTGCCGAGCGTCCGTCTGCCCAGGATGTTGTGGACAGCTTGGACCTGGTACAAACTTCGGCATCCTGCGTGCCATGTGCTCAGATGTAAAGTCTCCTTCAGGAGTGTAGCATATTGCATACCTAATTCGGATCACTATGGTCACTATGGCCACTGTGGGATCTCTAGGGTTCGTAGAAACCCCCCTAAGGTTCCCAGTCTTGTCTAGCACGGGTGACTGTACTCAGAATGAGGTACAGCCTCCTTTTTCAAGCATCCCGAGCTCTTTAGTGGAGCCTGGGACCCCCTATACAGTGCATGACCCAGCTACACTCTGCGAGTCGTCTTCAAGGCGAACAGATAGATGACACTGGGTCATGGCTTCGAAAGCGATCGGACATCGGACTTAGACACCTGTTAAGACAATCTGGTCCGTCTCTGATTCAGTTTGAACATTTTTGTTTAATTCATTGCCTGTGCATGTCCCGCCATTGAAGTACTCTTCGAGTGACTGTTCGAGAGTCAAGCAACGGGGGGATGGGCCGTACATGTCCCAAGTCTGATCGACTGGACAAGGCCAGAAAAAGAAACCTTGCAGAGTAAAGTTCACGAAGCTTTTCGCCCTAAGCGATGATTCATATTACCTGAAGGTTTTGATGAAAGTCAGAGGTGTCGTGGACCCTCTGACATGCTTATGGCTTATAGCACCCTTATCGTACGTATTGGCAGCCCTCTTCCCAGAATGTTGATTTTCCGCGAGGTGGCTCCCTATGCTCCCGAGCAGCAGCTGACGCCACAAGAGCGGTGGCAACAGACACCGCGTTTTCGCCTCGACCTCTAAGGCTCCCCGGGAAGTGTTGGGGGTATCGGTGTTTTGAGGCTAGGCTTCATGATTTTAGGGGTTTTCTTGTTGGAGGTTTTGCTGCTTCGTGCTTAGAGTTTAGGACATTTTACGAGTAGGCGGAATGGGTCTTAGAAACTATAATGGCTCCCGGTGCTAAGTCTTAAATCGGTCAGAGTGTAGGGTTTAACGGTTCGCGGATTTAAGTTTAAAGGTTTGGGGCTTAGCTAATCCGGGGGGTTGGGGCTTATGATGTACTTTTTGTCTTGGTGTTACTCTAAGGGTTCGAAGTACCGGACTCGGGTTTGGATTCCGCGTAGTATCATTTATAAATAGTTATACGATTGGTGATTGTGGTATGTAGGAGAGTGCATCATCTTGTGGTACTTCGACCGTTCGGGTGTTATCTTTAGTTGAGCAAGACGGCGATGCACAAAGCTGTGTCATCGCTTATGCAGAAAGCTCAGACTTAAGCAGTACAACACAAGCCAATTCCCAACCCGAAGGGTCCGCGTGCCTACGTTTTTCCCGTAAGGCACTGCATCAGAAGCCTTCGCACAACCAACCGAAGCCCTATGGCAAGTCTAAAGTGAAGACTCTCGGGTTATGGTGAAATAGATACATAAATACACAGTTTCAGGGGTCAGGGGTCTCTGGCCGTGTGATCTGGAGGCTTGGGCTCAATTGGGTGTCTGGGTTTGCAAGCTACAACATTCGGGACGGAGAATTACTCAACACGGTTTCGGGGTTGAAGACGATTGCGTTTGAGTGTCTTCCGCGCATGGGGTTGGTCTTTCAAGGGTTGGCAGTCACGGTGAGCGATTTTATCGCTTTTCCATTGACTTCCTGAAAAACCTGAGCGCTAAAACCCAAGCCCTGAGCCCCAAGACCTTCAAACCCGAAGCCGTTAGACCCCATCTCATGATTTGTTAGTTTTGGCCGCAGATGCCCTGTTCGGATCCTCGAGACTACGCCGAGGGTTAAATCTCGCTCGTACCTCAGGGTGTAGGGTTTAGGGTTAACGGTTTCGTGTCGGTTTGGAGTTTGGCTTCAGGGTTGAGTCGAGGGTGTGCCTAGTCAAGTCGTTTGGGGATTGTATGGTTTCGGGGTGGCGACGACTGCTTGAGGCGCATACCCTGGCTTTAAGCACTCGGGTCTGGGTTTAGTCTGTTGGTGATTGTATGGTTCGGGGGATATGCAGCGACGACTGCCTGAGGCGCAAGCCCCGGCTTCAAACTGTGTCAGTGTTGAATTTGAGCCCAAGACCCCAAATCGCAGAGCAGCCCTAAACACAAAACTCTCAACCCCAGTTCCAAGAGCAGCAGCCGAAGATCCTTGAATCCGAGGCCAGAGCACGACATCGAGGATCTGACGCGAGCTATGTACAGTCGGAATAATTGGTACTCGTATCCTCCTACAGTCGTTTAAAATATCTTGGCAGAAAAAATGCCCCAATACCCCATTCTGACAATCCAGGCCGAAAAGTCTGTCGAGTTCAGGTTTTAATACGGGGACCTGAACAAGCCACAATCAACCAGCCTCAGGCCCACCTACCCATATTTCCGTGTGCTAAATTGTTCAGGATTTAGAAGAGGTCTACGTTGTCGACATGTGGTTGGGGGGCTCCTCTGAGATCCTGCAGGGGTGCTATACGGGTTTCGGGTTTTGGGGTTAAGGTTAGGGTCTACGGGTTCAGACTCTTGGAGTGTCGGGTTGTAGGTTTCGGCGTTATTGTTTAGCACTCAGGGTTCTGCGCCCATAGTAGGTTTGCAAGGACTGTTGAACAGCTGCCCAGACCTTCGAACTATTGCGAACACTGGGGTTTTGCAACATCGTACCTGAGGTTTAGGCTTCACTGTTCAGGTGCATCCAGTCTCTGACTGCAATTTGTTCTGACTTGCTGTGTCGAAACATCCTGCGATCCCGTATTGTGTGTGTAAGCCTTTCGAGCTTTTAGGCTCAGAAGTATACAGTATAACCATAGTGTAAGCTTCCCATACACCTTAAGATCCTTCTGAACTCCACCCAAGTGTGCTCTCCTGGATTTACGGCCATAGACCTCGAGGCCAAGCCATACACTGAAAACTTCGATAAACCCCGCATCCTCTGCCGTAAATTTCTGCCGTACATTTCCTTTAATCGTACACACTTGACCGCTAAGCACCACATTCTGAACCGTAGATTGGCATCGGGCTTTGTTTCATTAGCTTGCTGAGCGCATTGAGCATACAGGCTCATCCAGTGCATTCGCTCAGTGCAGAAAAGGAGTTGGCTGCAGGAGCCTTTGCTGAGCTGGCTTATCCATTAGCTGCAGCGCCGAACAGTATGTCATTGCAAGAACCTTTGAGGCACAGCTTCCCAGACCCCGCAAGGTTTCAAGGGTCGCCCCGAAGCCTATACAAGATCAAAGCGGCTTACCTCTACCCTTTATCTATACCGTCTACATCCCCGGCCTCGAAACGCAGGAGAGCAGGCTGTGGAAGCTTTCGGATACCTCCCATGGACATGTCTGACATCCCACCGGGTCCCAGTTACCCAGCAAATTTACATTTTGTTCCTAACGCCGCCTTATGGGAACCCCTTCAGGGCACAGCGCTTGTCGCAGGGATGTCCGGCAGGCTGGGAAGAAGGCTTAGGGAGCCGGCGCTTCTTCCTATTGCCGGCCACCACAAAGCCAGTGACCACCATTCGGGTTCAGAACCTAGGGAGCGGCTCAGCTTAAACCGCAACCCTAAACCCGAAACGCCAAGCCTTAAACCTCAACCCCTACTCTGTTCTTTCAATATGGCTCTCAGCTTCCTGCTACCATGGGAACCCTGGTGGGTGGCCCTGGCAAAGCCATGCCACGGGGCTATGCTTCCTCGACGGCCCTGACCTCAGGAGTTACGGCATTTAAGAAAACACGGTTTGGGGTTTCACGGTTTGGGATTTCGGGTTTGGGACTTGACTGTTTATAGCAAAACCGATTCACCCCTTTTGAAATCCCTTGCAAGACAGCATCGACACGTTTTCATAACACGCGAAGTCAAATATCCATACTTGTATCTCAAGACCTGCAAGAGCTTCAACAGCGCCAAACGCTTTGCTATTTTTGACTAAAGGAAACCAACCTGAATCTTGGGGTTAAGGAGGGATTCGGCTTTAGGGTTCAGGGTTTAGGAATCCCAGCTGTGCTAAACCTCTTAGCCGACACCCTAAACCTGAACCCCCAAGTCCCCTTCGGGCTTCAAAACTCCATTTAGACCCATAGAGCCCCCCAGAACGGCTTCGTACCCTCGAACCTGGGACCTGGGGCTCAGACCGGGGCTAGGCACTGACCACGTGAACCGCTCAACACGAAGGCCCTTTTCAAGGACCAACGACCTGCAAAGCAGCACCCAAGAATTTCAACGAAATGTTTGAAAATCGTACAAGTCCGACAGAAAGCCAAAGCCTCAAGTCCCGAACCATTTAGAACTCTGTGCAACCATCCTAGAAGCCCAGTTACCTACATGGTAGGTTACGGGCTGTCTGCAACACAGGGCTCTGATGGGTTCAGGAAGAGTATCCCACGGTGACACAGTTTGACTTCTATGGCAACACCCTCGAGCCTGAACCCTGCAGCTCGAAGCCTTGAAGTCCAGTTAAAAAACGCGCGCTCAACAGACAATGCAACCCAAAGCACCTACACAACACCCTTCAAAGTCCTGTAGTGTCTCAGCCCTTCAGAAACAGCCCCACCCCAAACGCCCCAAATCTGCAACATCACAGCCGCAGAGAACAAGAAGTAAACCCGAACCCTCAACCCTTCCCTTAGTTCAACAGCACCAAAGCCCAACATCCTAAACAAGGAGGAAGAGAAACACAAGGGGGCACCGAGGCCTCTGGCTTCGCCATGCCTAAGACGCTGAAGCCCCGGCCAAAGCCGGAAGACATGAGGCCCAAGTGGGAGAATGTGTTTTCAATATTATTTGCCTCTTTGAAGATAGTTTAGGTGGTGCCTAATTACTGCTGTGTAGGGGTATATTATAAAAGGGTTGAAAGGTTGAAAAGGGCTTAGGGGTTTGGGGCTTGGAGTTTTAGTGGTGTGCAGGGTTTGCTGGTAGCGCCAGCCCGTACAGAATGTTCAGTTCTGGCCCCCAACATCCGCCAAGTTTTGGGTGTAACCTTAAAGTTAATAGGTTTGGGATCCACAGCAAGGGCTTTGGGGTTTGTGGCTTCGGCAGTTTGTTGCTTTCGGTCCGGGTTCGAGGGAGGCAGGTGGAAAGAATAAGGTTCTGCGGATGTTTACGGCTTTAGGACTTACCTGCAGAACGCCCAAAGCCGAGGTTGTCAGCAATTTGAAAACTTGTTAATGCCATACAAAAGAAAAACCGTGATAGAACCCCGAAGAAGGTAAAGGCTTTGGTTTTTGGCGCGAGCGTAAAGTACAGCGCTGTGGGACTTGCGGATTAGGGCCAGGCTAAGGGCGTAAGGTTTCGAGAGAGCGCTGCGGTCTTCGCGGTTCCCAAGCCCAAAACGGGCATGCTTTGAGCTGCTTCATTTGTAGGGCTTCGAGCGCAGTGTTTCCAGTTTCCTCTACTTCAGACTCAGGCAGAAGCCCAAACCATCTGGGTGGGTTCAGAGTTTGTAAGTAGTATCGGAACTGGGGATGACAGGGGTGCGTGGCTTTTGCGCCGTGAGTCCATTTTGCTGGGTTCCCCAGTTCCGGGCCTCGTCTTCGACAGCCCCAGACTCTACACCTTTGAAGCAGAACCCCGACCCCCGATGCTTAGATCTTGCGGTTCGACTTCTGAGCCCAAGAGCTGTGACGTTGAGGCCGCTCTTTCTGTACTGGGCAGATGTCACGGAGGCCGTGCTACCAGGGCTTCGGATTTCGGGTCTTGTTGGCTTTAGACAGTAGGAATCTTCATCTCCAGGGTGTAGGCTTTTCGATCTTTAGGTGGCTTGAAGGTTTAGGGGTTGGGGATACTTCTTACTTGGAGGTCTTCTGTAGATAAAGCCTACATCCTAAATCCCTG